ATGGTCATCGAAATAAAGAATCTTATCCAAACTTCTGTCCAAATGACCCTTATTTCAATGAGACTCATTGGATTGGTGGATTTGGACAACTCACAAATGTAAATATTACGTATATTATTCTTACGAAATTATCATTTATTAACATTCTCCATTGACAGGAGGGTAAAAGGCAACAATACAAATTGGGACAATATTTCCGAAGAAGATACAATAAACTTCTCGGTGATAAATATTCACCAAATAAAGTGTACATACAATCCGCTGACAGAGATCGCCTTTTGATGTCTGCCCAAGCCAATCTAGCCGGTTTATTTCCACCACACGCGGAAGAGAAATGGAATGAGGATATTGCGTGGCAACCGATTCCAGTTCACACAATGCCTTTGAATTTGGACTATGCGTTGCGCGGAGTGAAATTTCCTATCGATTGTCCAAGATATTCTGCTGCACTCGAGAAATACAGAAATGAATCACCAGAAGTGCAAAATATGTTTAAAGAAAATAACGAACGTATCTTGTACTGGTCAGAAATGTGCGGATCAAAATTAAAGACCATTGAGGATCTGAACCGCTTGCATTAAACACTCTTTTTGCCAAGCCTTCACAATAAAACGTAAGTAATTAATTACAATGCTTACAATTTCAATTGACCATATTAATGTTCAAATTGTAAAGGATTTCCGATTGGGCACGAAAAGCGATCGAACCAAATGGTGTTTTGGAGGCCATGGCCCTTTTCAAATTTAAAATGTATTCAAATACTAAAGAAATGGCTCGATTGTGGTCTGGATTTTTGATAAAAGAAATGTTCGAACGTTTTGCTCAAAAGCTAAACTCAACATTGGTGCCAAATCGTTCGGTTTGGTTTTACTCGACACAAGATATTACAATCGGCACTCTACTGAATAGCTTTGAACTTTTCGAGGTAATTAAATTCAAAAAGATTTATTTTTTCTTTAATAATTATTTTTTATCCACAGACACATGCACTCCCATTTGCATCGAGTTTGCACTTGGAATTATACAAAAATGGAGAAAATGAGCATTACATTCAAATTTTCTTCAGAAAATCGAACGAAGAAATCCTTTTACCATTGAATATACCGAATTGTGGGGAAAAGTGTACGCTGGATCAATTGTATAATTTGTACAATGATATTATACCAGATCGTGATCATGACACTGAATGCCGTCTTACCAACTAGATTTGATTTTCAGCCGTATCTCAGAATTTCGTTTTGTATCTGTAATAATAAATAAATGACATTTATTTATTGATCTTCAATTTTAGTTCGTGTTTCCATGTTTTAATCATATTTGTTCTGTGTAATTTCAGGCGCTAAAGTCTTTAAAAAAAGCGTTTGCGCTAATTTTAGTTTTAAGTTGTGACAAATTCTTTCATTCACTGACAGTAAGCAGATTTAAATGTTAGATGAATTTAATTACAAATTTATTCATATTATGCAACTGGATTGTTCCACCATTGAAATCAAGTGGGTTCAGGATTTATTTTAGCATGACTATATCTG